AATTCATTGAGGCTTGTTTTGTATCCTATCATGTGGTCTATCCTTAATAAAGTTCCATGTGGATTTGAAAACAATGTGTATTTTGCTTCTTTGGGATGAAAGGTCCTATATATTCCAGTTAAGTCCATTTGATCTAATGCATCATTCAGTTCCACAGTATCCTTGTTGATATTTTATTTGGAAGATTTATCCATTTTTGACAGTGGGGTGTTAAAATCCCCTACTATCAGTGTGTTGCTGTCTATATCTTTTTTGAAGTCCTCCAATATTTTCCTTATATATTTGGGTGCTCCTATGTTGGGTGCATATAGGTTTAAAATGTTTATGTCATCTTAATGGATTCTTCCGTTGGGTATTATGAAGTGTCCTTCTGTGTCTCTTTTTATGGCTTTTGTTTTGAAATGTATTTCATCTGATATCAGTATTGCTACCCCAGCTTTTTTCCCCCTATTTCCTTGGAATATTCTTTTCCATCCCTTTACTTTCAGTCTGTGTAGGTCCTTTGTTCTGAGGCGGGTCTCTTGTAGACAGCATGTGTGTAGGTCATGTTTTCTCATCCATTCTGGTACCCTATGTCTTTTGATTGGACCATTTAATCCATTTACAGTTAAAATTATTATTGATAGGTACTTATTCATTTTTCCCCTTTGTACCTGTGTTCCTCTCTCTCTCTCTCTCTCTTTCTTTTCTTTCATCTTCTTAAAGCAGTCCCTTTAGCATATCTTATACTGCTGGTTTTGTGGAGATGTATTCTTTAAGTCTTTTGTCTGGGAAGCTCCTATTTCACCTTCCATTTTAATTGAGAGCCTTGCTGGGTAGAGTAGTCTTGGTTGCAGGTCATTGCTTTTCATTACTTGGAATATTTCTTGCCGTTCCCTTCTGTCTTGTAGTGTTTCTGTTGAGAAGTCAGCTGCTAGCCTCATCAGGACTTCTTTTTGTGTTGCTACCTGTTTGTTCCTTGCTTCCTTTAGGATTCTCTGTTTGTCTTTGATATTTGCCATTTCATTATGATGTATCTTGGAGTGGGCCTCATTGGGTTCCTCTTGAATGGGGCTATCTGTGCTTCCTGGACTTGAGACTTTTTCTTTCCTCCAATTAGGGAAGTTTTCCATCATTACGTTTTCAAACAGTTCATCTATCCCTTCTTCCTCTTCTCCTTCTGATATCCCTATTATATGGATATTATTATGTTTCATGTTGTCCTGCATTTCCCTGAACACCTCTTCATTATTCCTGAGTCTTTTTTCTTTTTCTTGCTCTTTCTGGGAGCTTTTTATACCTTGTCCCCCAGCTTGCTGTTTTGATCCTCTGCTTCATATGCCTGCTTATGATTCCTACTACTATGTTCTTCAATTCAGAAATTGTATTCTTCATTTCCTCTTGCCTCTGATTGATAGTTTCTATGTCCTTTTTAATGCTGATATATTTTGCAGGTAGTTCCTCATAGTTCCCTTCACTTTTTTGTAATTCTCTCCTATCTCACTGAGCTCATTGAGCTTCCTTATAACTATTGTTTTGAACTCTATATCTGGGAGTTTACTTGCCTCTATTTCATTTAGTTCTTTTTCTGGGGATTCCTCCTCTTTCTATTGGAGGTTGTTTCCTTGCCTTCCCGTTATTTCTGAGATTCTTTTTTTGCTTCTGCTTCTTAAATGGATCTGACTTGACTTCCTAAATTTTGGTATAAACGTCTATGGTAGGAGACCTGTGAGATTCAGTGGTGCAGTTTCCTTGATTTCCTGAACTTGGTGCCTTTGGATGACTTTTATGCCATTTATGTTGACTTTCTGGAAGTAATTGGGTTTTGATTGTTGTTTGGTCATTCCTTGGTGGATCCTACACTCTTAGCTGGTTGACTGAGGGTCACTCTGCCTACCACATCTTGCGTGTTTTTGTGCAGGTGCTTCCAGAACAAAACCACATCTGCAAAAATAAGTCCCTGCTCCAATCCCAGTATCAACAGCAAATGAACCAGTATTAATAAGGCTGTAAAGAGATTAAGATTATTATAAGATAAGAGAGAAATAAACTATTACTATGAAATCTAATGACTTAATGTGTACAAACTTGATGGACCCTAAATGAACATTAAAGAGCATGTAGTAAAGAAAATATCACAAGTCATGAAGAAGACCAGAGTAGATTTCATCTCGGTAGCCTGTAGTTTTTACCGCTGGTTTTTCTTTCAGGATCTGCCTCTGGTGTTGTCTGATGTTGACCCTGTCGGACCTTAGGCAGTCTGTTTGAGAATTCCAGGAATCTACGGCCTGTGGCTGTCTCCTTCAGCTGTTAATCTAGTCGCTCTGTATTCAGCAGTCAGGTTTAAGCACCATAGGGCAGGGCAAAATCCCTCCTGAGGCGGGGCTGTTGTTTCCCCTCAGGCTGCTTGGATAGGAGTGGTCTGCCAGAGCCTGATGGCTGCTGCATTATGGGGCATGACTCAGCACCATGTCCTGGTAGCTACTCTCTCAGTTCTCCCTTCAAAGCTTCCTTCCCCGGTCTCTCCTCAAGTGTGTATAGTCCACTCTGCACCCCCTTCAGCCAAGGATATACTATATGTGACTGCCACTCTGTACTCAGCAGTCAGGCTTAAACACCAAAGGGCCAGGGCAGAGTCCCTCTGTGGAGGGGCTACTGTTTCCTCTTATGCTGCTGCCACTCAGGGGAGTGGTCTGCCTGAGCAAGATGGCAGCTGCTGCATGGGGGATGAATCAGAACTGGGATCCTGCCAGCTAGTCCCTCAGTTCTCTCCCCAAAACCTCCTTTCCCAGTCTCTCCTCAGGTGTCTCTAGTCCACTCTGCCCCTCCCCTTTTGCTGGACTCCAGGGTAAGTGGCTGCAAATGAAAATTTATGCATTGGCCCTTTAAACAGCTCTTTGCATCTCCAGTTGCTTATCTCTGGCAGAGAGCAACCCTGCCACTTTTCACAGCTGACTGTTATCTGTGTACTTTTTGGGCTCTGGTGCTGTAGGCTGGGGATCCCTGCTTATGGTTTAGACCCCATTGTTCTCAGAGTGGGGATCAAGGGGATCCAACTGACCACTTAAATATCCCTCTGTTGCTGCTGCCTGTGGGCGCCCAGCCAGCCTTCTTGAGCCTCCACCACACTCCTTATAAGTTAGGTTGTGCTAAAGCTAATTCTTCTATCTGAAGTTACAAGGCTTCTCTCTCGCTATTGTTCAGTTTGTTCTGAGTGATTTCTACACAATTTAGTTGTAATTCCAGATTGCTCCTGGAAGGAGGTCAGTGTAACTTCCATTCACTACCCTGCCATCTTGCCTCTTAATCTGGATATTTTTTACTGACTTGCCTTCCAGGCCACTAATTCTCTCTTCTCTTGTGTCTGATATCCTCTTGAGTTCCTAATTATTCAGTCTTGGAATTTACATTTGACTCTTGTTCGTATAATCTAGTTCTTTGGTAAATTTTTTCTTATTTTTATCTACTTTATTAAGCATATATGAATCATAGTTATGGTTTTGATAACTGAAAAATCTGATTTTTCCATGTGTGTCTATTTTTCATTATTCTCTTTGTTTTTAGTATGCTCTTGTTTCTTCTCATGCCTGGTAATTTTTCACTAAATGCCAGATGCTTTATGTGAAAAATTGAAGAGGTTGTGTATGATATCCCTTTCTACAGGAGGATTTAATGTTCTCCTGGGCTGTAGGCCCTGTTTGGACAGATCTGTGTCCTTGCTCCTAAACCCTTTCTCCTCTGGCAGACCCTAGACTTCAGCCTTGAGCTCCCCTGCACCACTGCTGGAGTCTGTGCCCAGCTCTTTAGTCTTTCCACTGCTGCTTTCCACTTGCTTCTTGGTTTTTCCTTTGGCTTTGTAATTGAAGGACAATTATATGTTGAAATTTGGTCTCACCTCCTGTGATCCTCTTAAGTCTCTACCTTTTGGGCAGTTTTCAGCTCCAATGTCTGTCTTAGTCCAGTGAGGTTGCAGGGTCCTCAGCTGCTGCTGCTTTCTGTGGTGTGCTCTCTGCTTTGGGAACGAGCAAATTCCTGAGGGGAAAAGCAGGTGAATATGGGGTTTCCATGGATGGGTGTCCCTTTTCTCTGGGATATTAGCTCTCACATCCTATCTTTGTTGTTTTCTGATGCCCTTAACCATTTTCTTTAAGTAATTTCTCTTGATTTTATACTAGTCCTCAGTGAGGGAGTAGGTCTGAAGCAAGCTATTCTGTTGTGGCCTGAAGTGGGAGTCTTCCATTGCATTTAGAATAAAGAGCATGTTGCATTCCACTAGCATGTCAAACTCACTCTTGTGTGTCTTCTGCATCTCTCACTTATACCTAGTTTCCTTACACCCAGGATATTCTAGCCACACTTTGTATTAACTGCTTTGACTTGTTCCCAGATTTGTGCATCGCTGGCTCCTTGATATTACAGTACTTACTGTTGTTCAGTTCAATGTCACATGTTCCCAGGGTAGTGCGCCAATCAGTCTGTTATAATTTCATCATAGCACATTGTAGTCACTATTTGAACTTACTTTATTTACTTGCTTACTTTCTGTCTCCCCACTATTGTGTAAGTCATGTTCCTGTCTGGTGTGGTGTTAAATGCTAATTGATAACAATTAGTAATAAATGTTAATGGAATGAATGAATAAATGAATAAAATAGGCACTGATTCTAAAGGAATTGTCCAAATTCTTTGCAAACCTCAGTGGGGCATGAAATGAACTGTTTTCTTTGCCTTTATAATATTTTGATATGGAATATTTTATAAAATACCAAATTTTTATAGTTATATAATGACTACATTTTGTTTATCCTGATGCCATGATATTAAATTATTATCTTGGACAAAGATTATGTTCTGTTCATTATCATGAGTATTAATGATATTTTTGATAAAAAATTAAAAAAAATTAATAATCTGTGCTAATTTCTATCACCTAGAATATTTAAATAAAACTAATGATATGACTTTGTTTTTGGTGTTACATGATTTTTTTTTAATTGACATTTTATATCTTTATTTTACAGGAGTGGTTTTTAGGAAAAGCATTGCATGATGAAGAATCTACAATAATTCACCATTACGCCTTTTCAGAAAATCCTACAGTTTTTAAATATCCAGACTTTGCTGCTGGCTGGGCCCTTAGTATTCCACTTGTGAACAAGTAAGAATTTACTAGATTTTTAAAAATTTCACTGGTATTATAACTGATGGATCTCTCAAATGGGTTTCAGCCAGAGGCAGTGTGTGGCAGAATGGGAAGTCCTTGGGGGTCTTTTCTTCTGCCCCATCACTTACCTGCTGGTCTCCTCAGACTCATCACTCAACCTCTCTGTGCATCCTCTTACTCACCTACAAAATAAGGTAAGTAATAAATCGTGATTGTGAACACACAATACAATATACACATAGATAGAATTGTATACCTGAAACCTATATGCTTTTATTAACCAATGTCACCCCAGTAAATTCAATAAAGTTAAAACAAACAAACAAAAAGAAATCATGATCCTGAGGGAGAGTATATACATGCTCCGAGGGCTCTAACCTGAGGCATGTTATTACTGTTGTTATGGGCCTAGTTAGCAATAGCTCTGACTTTGATTGTCAGTAAGAAAATGAATCAGTAACATGCCTGGGATTAGCAGTTGATTACTTGCCATGTGCATGGGTATGCATGTTTAAACAAGGGCCACATGGAGGGACAGGAGGCAGTATAGATATTCATACCTAGCTATTTGTGTGTATAATTGCAATAATGTTTTCTTAGATGTAGAAAATGAAAATAATTAAGTTGTAATTCAGGAGAAATGTGGTTGACAGACCCTCTTTTAATCTGAGTACTTCAGATTAATTATTATGTGGTTTTGTTTTTTAAGGAGTGTAAAGTTGATAGAGTAATTGTGGACTTCATGCCTTCCAACTATGAAATGGTTTTTGTTATTTCTTACACGAAGTGTGCTGCTACTAGGGTTTGGAGTTTTGAGAAGCTTTGTAGCCCATTGTAAATACACCGGTAGAAGATACCTTGTCAAGAGTGGCTGACTGAAACTACTTGACAACTCCCTTGACACTTGAAATTTCCTTACAGTGTGATACCCTCCATGACAAAATAGTGTCAAGCTTAATAGTATTTTCTGTTGAGAATCCAAAAATGACATCAACAGCACCCTTACTGTTAGGGAACAGCCACATGAGGCAGGCTGCATCATGTAGATGTAGCACGGAGAATTCTTTTTGGGGAGTTACATGGGGAAGGAGACTGTGCATGGGGGTCCACTTCACTTGAGAGGTCAGGACAAAAGAGAGGTAATTTGGGGGCTTGCAGCTGAGATGGTGGCTTCCTGATGTAGGAGCAGCCTGATGGAGGAAGAGGCCCCAGCTCCTTCAGCACCCATTTCTGTGGTATGAATCTGAGGATTGTTTTGGCAGTCTCAGCCCAGAGTCTCATCTACTGACTTTCCAGTGATCCTGTAAGCTAGGTCTGTATCCCTTTATAAGTGCATGTTGTGCTTAAACTGGCCTCAGTGGATTCTGTTATCTTCAACTAAAAACCATGACCGTTATGTTTCATCCTGAGATAGCTGAGCAAGGGAACGCTGCTCCCAGCCTGTACCAGGCATGTCTAGGAGGAACTATATCATTTCCCTACTCCATTTTTAGAAGGGCTGAGGCAGAGTAGAGGGGAACTTAGAGGAGAGAGTTGTCTTTTTCTTGAGAGAGGAACAAGTACAGCTGTAAACTGTCCTGTGATGCTCACTGAGAGCAGGCAGGGCCTCCTTCCCCTAGGGTCAAAGAGGAAACCAGCAGACCCAGGAAGACCCTATATAGTAAGCCTGGGGTTATCACCATTTCTCTGAAGCCAGCATAACCTATTTCTCTATCCTGTAGGCACCTCATCCTGATTGCAAATCCTACTAGTCTAGGGAGTTTCACTTTTCTTCTTCCATCCCAGTTTCCCCATCTAGCAAGGACCTTCTTGGAGACCTTTTTTGGTTTGAATGCAATTCACCTTTTATTGAGTTAAGTGTAAGAAATACCTACCTTTCCTTTTTAAACTAGATGGATGGTAGTGATGTGTCCTGAGTATGCCTTTGACTTCTACTACCCTTACACAGGACAGCTTCGTCCAGTCTTATTGCTTATCATCCTGGCATTAAAGCATCACCTGGTCTACTGAACCTCTGGGTCTATGACTCTGCTCTCCTGCCGCATTACTCATGTGTGTAGTGGCCACCAAGCACTGTCAGGTTCCATGGCTCATCTAACTAACCCACGTCCCCATGTGAGGAGTTGCCAGGGGATTTGTGAACTGGGACCTCATCTCACTGCAGTAGGATGTGTAGGGACCTACAGCTAAGGGAGCTGGGGCCAAATATTTTGCATGAATTCAGAAAATTTCTAGTACTTGCCCCATAGCTGCAGCATGATAAAGGAAGGAGGCTTCCGTACCATGTCATCTGCTTTCACAACACTGAACAATTAACAACAAACCATGGACTGTTTGTAGTTAATTCATGTGCATGGTCTTATCCCCACCTGTTCTCCCTTTCCACTGCCAGCAAAAATAAAACAAAATAAAAATGCAGACTCTACCATAGGACCAGATACCAAATTCTGCTTATCAAGGGTATCTAACATTTTGGTATCTCTGGGCCACACTGGAAGAAAAAGAGTTGTCTTGGGCCACACATTAAATACATTGCAACACGTAATCACAAAAAAATCTCATAATATTTTAAGTAAATTTTCAACTTTTGTGTTGGGCCACATTCATAGCCATCCTGGGCTGCATGTGGCCCACAGGCTGCAGGTTGGACACTCCTGTTTCTTTTTCTTGTGATACAAGCACTAATCAAACAGATAAAATAATATAATCCATATAGCCTAGAAGCTATCTGTGGCCAAGATACAGCTAGTAGGAGATTCTAATTTATTTTTCAAGAAATTGGTATTATACTTAGAATTAAAGGAGGCATAAGTACCACTTAGCTCCATCAGCTTCAAAACTGGATCTTTCCAGTTGGTTTCTCCCATTCAGAAGCTAATGTGCTGACTTTATTTCCTTCTGTTACTGGGAGCTACATCTGTTTGCAGGCTGGATGGAGGACACGTTACTACTGTACTTGGAAAGTGGGGTTGGTGGTTGGTTGATGCAGGAGATCAACAGTGTTACTGAGGACCCTGCTTCTCTCTTTGTCTCTTGTTGAGTACACAGCATCAGTTAATCCTGAGTCTGGTTTCCCTTTGTGGTTTCAAGGCAGCAAGGCCTACATGTGTTTTATTTATGTCCAGGAATAGAGAACTTCTCCAACCACAGAAGGCAAGTGTTTGTCCTCAGTCTTTAGTTGGACCTTGTCCAAGTGAAGTTGGTTGGATCACTTCAGGCGTGTACCAATTCCTGGACCAGTAACAATTGCCAGGGAATTTAAGTACTTTGGTTGGGATCAAACTAATTTTGACCCTGGAATCCATTTATTTGGGTCAAGAATTAATCACAGGAGAATCAAGATGGCAGAGGAATGAGTGGAATTCACACTGACCTCCTCCCAGGACCAACCAGGAATTACAACTAAATTGTGGAGAAATCACCTGGAACAAACAACTTAACAATCATGAGAGATGAGCCTTGTAACCTTGGAGACAGAAGAATCAGCTTTAGTGAAATCTAACTGTTAAGGAGTTCGATAGAGACTGGAGAAGGCGGGCGGGGCGCCCACAGGTGGCAGCACTAGAAGGATATTGAAATGGCCAGTTGGATCCCCTCAAGAAGAGTGGGGTCGAAACCAAAAGCGGGGATCTCTGGCCCAAAGCACTAGAGCCCAAAAGGTACACAGAAAAAAGCCAGCTGCGAAAAGCGGCAGGGTTGCTCTCTGCCAGAGACAGGCGGCTGGAGACGCAAAGAACCATTTGAAGGGCCAACACAAAATTTTTATTTGCAGCCACTTACCCTGGTCTCCGGCAAAGGTGGGTACAGAGTGGGCTAGTGACGCCTGACGAGAGACTGGGGAAGGAAGCTTTGGGGAGAGAGCTGAGAGAGTAGCCAGTGGGATCTCAATGCTGACTCATCCTCCATGCGGCAGCAGCCATCTTGCTCAGGTAGGGACCATGCCCCCTGAGCTGGACCTGCATCAAAGAACCCACTAGCCCCACCCCCAGGTGGGATTCCACCCCACCCCATGCTGTCTAAGCTGCCTGCTGTGTGCAGAGTGGCAGCCACAGACAGTAAACACCTGGCAAAAAGGGGCACAGAGAGGTCTGGCGACACTTGAGGAGAGACTGGGGACAGAGGCTTTGGGGAGAGAACAGAGAGAGTAGCCAGCGGGATCCCAGTGCGGACTCCACCCCCATACAGCAGCAGTGTGAGAGGACCCAATAAGCCTGCCCGCAGGAGGGACTCCCCCCCGCCCCCGCCCTGAGCTGTCTAAGGCGGCCTGCTGAGTACAGAGAGAATAGATTAACAGCAGAAGGAGACAGCCACAAACAGTAGATTACTGGAAGTCTTGAACAGACTGCCTAAAGTTGGACAGGGTTAACATCTGACACTATCAGAGGCAGGTCCAGAAAGTAAAAACAGCAGTGTCCAACCAGAGAAGTTCATACCGCAAAGTCAGGAAATCAAGACAGATCAATTTAAGAAGCAGAAGCAAAAGAGGAGTCTCACAAATAATGGGAAGACAAAGAAATACCCCCCACTCAAAGGGCAAGGAGGAATACCCAGAAAGGGAACTAAATGAAATAGAGGCAAGTAAACTGTCAGATATTGAGTTCCAAACAACAGTTCTAAGGAAGCTCAGTGAGTTGAGTGAGGTCAGAGAGAATTACCAAAAATTACAAGGAAACTACAAGGAACTTATTGCAAACTATACCAGCATGAAAAGGGACATAGATACTATCAATAGGAGACAAGAGGAAATGAAGAATACAATTTCAGAATGGAAGAACACAGTAGAAGGAATCCAAAGCAGGCTCAGTGAAGCTGAGGACTCAATCAGTGAGCTGGAGGATGAGGTAGAAAAAGCTCCCAGAAGGAGCAAGAAAATGAAAAAAAACTCAAAAAGAATGAAGAGGCATTGAGGGAAATGCAGGACAACCTGAAACATAATAATATCTGTATAATAGGGATACCAGAAGGAGAAGAGGATGAGGAAGGGATAGAGAACT